CGTGCCCTGCATGTTCAATCGTGTCCAACTCTTTGTGATCCCATGGACTGTAGCTTGCCAGGCTCCTCTGTCCATGGAATTTTCCAGGAAAGAACACTGGAGTGGGTTGCCATTTCCTACTCCAGGGGATCTTCCCAACCCAGGAATTGAACCCGTGTTTCCTGCATTGACAGGCAGATTCTTTAACAATATGCCACCTGGGAATCCCCTTGGAAACAAAACCAGGATACAATTCCTTCTGAACTGGCCTTGAGTAGGAGACCAGTTCATGCTAAACTGATAGAAAATGGCTTGGAGAGAAATGTAGCAGTATCAGGGACTTCCCTGGTGGTCCAGTGGTTAACTCCACTCTCCCAATGCAGGGGACATGGGTTTGATTCCTGATGGGGGAACTGGGGTCTCACATGGTTCATGATAGGGCCAAAAAAAGAAAAGAAAAAAGACATGTATCAGTATCAAAGGAGGAGCCCATAGTCTCTTCCCTTGACCTCCACTCAGCCTTGGAGAAGAGCTGCTCTGGCCACTTTGATGCCGGCATCCTCTGAGTCCACTTGCCAATTCATATGAGACATTGGCAGACTTCAGTTACCTAGTCACCCTGCTTTTCTGGTGTCTTACACTGTTTCAGTATAGTTCTCTGAAAAAAAAAGAAAAAACAAGATTTGGGCTAAGAAGAGATTCATAGGGCTGTATGAGACATTCTTCTTGCCAAAAGTAGCTGGTCCATTAGATTCTCCATTCAGAATCCCGACAGGGAATCTCAGAATTTCAGAGCTGGAAGGGACTTTAGAAACCCCGTAACCCACAGGGAAAAAGCCCAGTCTGAGGCCTGAACTGGAGAAGTAATGTACCTGTGTTACACCAAATTAACGAACAGCGGAACCACAAGGGTGTCAGGGCCCCACTCTGCTCAGCTAAGTACTAATTTAGTTCCTGGATGCTTTTGAACCTCAAACTGAAGCAGAGAGGAAGTGGGGGGAGGATTCAAAAGTGGTTGTTGAACATTAGAATCAGGAAATGGTGATTTGGCTGAATCTACAGATAATAGCATTACCACTTCCTATGTTAGCTGATGCCAAAGAGAGAAGATTCTGCATAAGAAAACAGTCAAGTGACAGGACTGTAAGCTTCCACACAATTGTCCCCACCCAATTCACAGTTTCTTTCAGGCCACTGAGGGGAGCATGAGTCTGATTGTTCATAGGGTTTTTTGGTTAGTGTCCAACACAGAATCATGAAATCAAAGAACAATAGAGTTTATATGAACTCCAAGAGAATTATCTGGTTTGGCATCATGTCTTCTGGTAACTAAATCATCTAGGATAGATAATTTGATTATCTTTTCTTTTTATTAAAGGATCTACTTTCTCAACTGTACATGAGGAAATAAGTTTCCTTCCAACTCTAACATCCAGAATTCCATTTCTTTTTCAGACTCTTTTCCCTTATAGGTTACTACAACACTTAAAATTCTTACTGTGAGGGAGAGCCTTAACTTTGAGTAAGGTATTTTCTCCAGAAAAGAATCATGCTCCATCAATTTCATTTCAGCAAACATGAACTGAGTACCTCGAATGTGCCAGGAACAGTGTCAGATAGTAAGAGTTCATAAATAAATCAGATATGAATTACCTGGCAAGGGTAACATGGTGTCCGTTCCCACCCTTTGTCCCATTAGTACACATCAGTTTATCAGATTAGTAGCTGTCCTCAGGGGCTGATATAGGATATAGGCAGATAAATTTTGATATGATATGATATGAAAGCAAAAAGCATCTGGGACACTGAGCTTTATCCAAGAGAATTCAGTTCCTGAGTGAATATCAAAAATTAATTGAATATTAATATTAAAATCAACTTGAGGGATTGGGTACCAGTGAAGGATGGAGAACAAAAAAGGGATCTGAAGGCAAGGAAAGCTTATTTCAGAATTTTTTTCCCTAGGAGCTTTGATCATTGCCCTCTGGGGTCTTCCATCTTTGGCCAAACTTACTAAATTCCTGGCTCAGATCGGGGCTTCCTCAGCGGCTTCTCTTTGTCCTTAATAAGATTTAGTGTGGGTTCCCAGGTAGTGTGGCTTCCCTCATAGCTCTGTTGGTAAAGACTCTGCCTGCAATACAGGAGACCCAGGTTCAATCCTGGGTTGGGACGATCCCCTGGAAAAGGAAATGGCAACCTACTCCAGTATTCTTGCCTGGAGAATCCCATGGACAGAGGAGGCTGGTGGGGCTAGAGTTCATGGAGTCGCAAGAGTTGGACACAACTTAGTGACGAACCAACCGTCTAGGTACTACCAAGTGAGATCACTTTAACAATTTGTCCCGGGGACCACTGGATCAATAGACCCCCATATCTCAAATATGATGGTCTCAGCCCTTCTTTCTCCTTTCTCGTGTCTTTCTGATATTGCCAGGGTTAGTTCACAAATTTGCATTACTTCTCCTTCTGCCAACCCCTTGGCTCTTTTTTGTTCCCTTGGCTTATTTTAAGAAGTGCCTACTTTTGCTGTGCTGCCCATGAAGAGTGGTCTTTTTTACCCGTCACCTGACAGACTTCAGTACCTCCCATGGCTGGGTCAGGAGGGCTTAAGAATAACCACATGCTGCCTTCCATGCAAACTCTGTCACTGAGTGTGGCCCATCTGTCGACTCCATCCTTACTTTTGTGGTTTCCTTCCAACAGTCTCCTTTTCTTCCCAACAACCTGGGTTCTTTAAGGGTCTCATATATTAAGACTCTTCTGTTCGGATGAGACAGAAATCCAAATAAAATAGCCTTAGGCAAATAGGGAAATTGTCATCAAGGTTCCAAGGAAAGCTGAAATAATTGAACATGGAAGGCAGGACTTAAATGTCTTTGGGCTCCTGGATACCATTGTTTCTTAGGCCGTAGAGTGGGCTCTCACTGGCCCAACCCAAGTAGTTGTAGCCGGGAGAACAGTGTCATGTAAGAACGTAGTAGCTCCTACAGAAACCAAATGGATGGAAATGGGGGAGAAAAAATTCCTAGACAACACAGATTGCTGTTTCTTAAGGTGCATAGGGTTGTTGAACAGAAAAAGCAATCTATCCATCACAACTCCCTACAGATCTGCCTGTAAATGCCTAAATCACAATACAAAAGGTACAAACACTCTCTTACCCGACTTCTAGGCCCTTGAAAGTCAGGGGTGTGGTCAGACAGCGGTTTAGATCCTTACTCTTTTCACTCACTGGAGCCTTAGTTTCAGCCTGACTGGGACTCTGCTTTACTAGGTGTTATATTTTTGATTGTGAAATGTTCAGGGTGGACCCAGATTTCACAAAAATAACAACTTGTCTCTTCTTAGCCAACTCCCCCTCTCCTCCCATCTTCCCCAAGTCAGTAAATGGTACTGTGGATTATCTAATTGCCCAATTTCGAAACCTGGGCATCATTCATTCCTCTTCCTCCCTCTGCCATTCCACTTGCTAAATATCTTTCAAACTTGCCGTTTCTTTCCAGCCTGGCTGCCACCATCCTGTTGCAAACTACCATCACCTCTCACCTTGCAGCCCTCTAGTCTTCCACCCTCTCAACCTACTTTCCGCCTTAATGACAGTGATCTTTTTTTTTTAATCTGCGTATGTCTCTCACTCTTTAAAACTTTAGCAGCCTCCCAATATTATCCTCCCAAACCCCTCAGTATGGCTAATATGCCCCCACTCCTGACCACACTTGACCTCTTGCTTATCTTCTCTGCCAAGTGGTCCCTTATTCTCTGTCCTCTTCAGTAGCAGACTTCTTTCAGTTTCTCAGTGAGACACAGCCACTCCCACTTTCATTTTTCCACATGTGCCTTTCCCTCTCTTTGCAACAATCTTCTCCTCACCCTTCATTCAGCTGAGTCTTACTTACGCTTCAAGTCTCAACTTAACATCATTTCTTCTAGTAACCATGCTTGGCTCTTGAGGCTGGCTTGTTTCCTTCTCATATGTTCCTGTAGCACTAAGACCTGCCATTCAAAGCTCAAGTTCCATCTGTAACTACCTACCTACCGCCTGTCTTCCCTCCCAACTGTAAGTTTTCTCAGGGTCCAGACCTTTCCTCTTGTTCATCCCAGTATGCCCAGCAATTACTGTGCCTGGTACATAGTAGGTTCTCAACATATGCTCATTGAGGAAGCGCTGAAGGTAAGTCTGTTGGTTTTTGCTTTTTTTTAATATTTATTTATTTTGACTGTGCCAAGTCTTAGCTGCAGCACATGGATCTTCAATCTTCGTTGCAGCACGTGGGATCCTTACTTGCAATATGTGGGATCTAGCTTCCTGACCAGAGATGGAACGCAGGTCTCCTGATAAGGAGCACAGAGTCTAAGCCAATGAACCACCAGGTAAGTCCCTATTGGGTTTTTTTAAAAATACTTTTTATTTTTAATTAATTTCAAACTTATAGAAAAGTTTAGGTACCACAGTACCTAGAATTCTTATATACCACTGTAAGCTTTTGTCATCCATAGATCCACCAATTATAAGCTTTTGTCACGTTTTTTTTGTTTATGTAAATTCACATATTTTTTCCAAACCATTTGAGAGTAAGTTGCAGATTTCATGCTTCTTTTCCCATTAATAGTTCAATAGTATTTCCTAAGAATGAGGATATTTCCGTAACATGTTATCAAAATGAGGAAAGTTAACAAAGATACATGAACTCTTATTTTTTTAAGTGAAAAGTGAAAGTGACCTCTAATTCTGTTTTTTTTGTTTGTTTGTTTGTTTTTTAAGGGAAGCAGAAAGTATTGGGGAAGGGCTTTCTAGGATTAAGGGCTCCCCTTCTCCTTCCTCTCTCTCTGCCCCAGTTCAGGAGATTCTTCAAAAGCCGAGGTTGTGGTGGGGAAGGCAGTGCCTGGCGGAGGGCTGATGTGCCTGTTCCCCCTCCGTGCCCCCACTGGGAGCAGCAACTTCCCTCACCCATGTCTACGCCTCACGGTGCCCTGAGTCCTCTGTCGCAAAACTGGAAGCCCTCTGAGCGGATGGCTTTGTTCTACAACGTCCCGGAGGGAGAAGGAAACCCCGTCCGCCGGAAGTGCAAGCTGGAAGGAAAGGTGAGGCCCAGGAAGTGGGAAGATGGCTCCTGGGACCCGTAATCAAGCTTCGGCATTTCGGGCCTGCATGAAGAAGGGGAAAAGACGAGCCGCGGAGGTAGAGTCAGATTTGCACACCTCGGGTCCTGGGACCATCCTGCTCGGCTGAGTGGAATACCAAACGAGGGTGTCTTGGAGCTGCACTTCACCTCAGCCAGGCAATCGACAGGAGAAGCAGCGAGCGAGACCGACAGACTGTCACTGGCAAAATGAACTGTCACCTCCCATTTTTCAGAGGCGCGGCGGATGAATTGCAGCCTTGAACCGTGCGGCCCGCTGCTGATTGAGTTCCGCTGTCTTAGAACCCCTTCGAACAAGGCGAGTTCATTTCAGACTGACGTCCCACCGCTTATCAATTTAGGAGCCAGTAAAATTAACCGCTTCGGAGCTGATTCGCTCCCTTCCTCTGCTTGGATTCCGCATCCAGAAAGGTCACCAAATAAATCTCTCTCTGGGTCCTACTAGCATAATATGAAGCTTGGAGACAGGGTCTCAGAAGAGGAGACTTGAGCCAGACATAGCCCAAGCCTGAAAGGTTGCCAGGCTCCCTCACAGCCAGCCGTCCATGGCCGTGGTGTGACAAGCCAGGCCTTTGCTAGCTCTGCTCCCACCAAATCAGCTCCTGCCCTCAAGAGATACAGGGTTGGGTACAGTTGGGTGGCTGAGAGTGGAGGTGCTACAGAAGGTCCCCTAGCCTTTCAGCAGAGACCTCTGCACTGCTTGGTTTCCCATCTGCCATGGACTGAATATTTGTGACCCACCCCTATTCATATGTTGAAACCCTAATCCCCGATATAATGGTATTTGAAGGTGGGTACTTGAGAAGTTGTTGTTGGTCAGTCACTAAGCCCTATACAACTCTTGTGACCACCATGAACTGCAGCACACCAGGCTCCCCTGTCCTCCACTATTCTCTTGGAGTTTGCTCGAACTTATGCCCATCAGGTCGGTGATGCCATCCAACCATCTCATCCTCTGTCACCACCTTCTCCTGCCCTCAGTCTTTTCCAGCATCAGGGTCTTTTCCAGTGAGTCTGTTCTTTGCATTAGGTGGCTAAAGTATTGGAGCTTCAGCATCAGTCCTTCAAATGAGTTTTTAGGGTTAAATTAAGTCATGAGAGTGGGGATCCCATGATGGAATTAGTGCCCTTAGAGAAAGGAAGAGAAACTGAAACCTTTTTTTCTTGGCCACGTGAGGAGACTACACCACGGAGATGGCAGCCATCTGTAAACCAGGAAGAGGACTCACCAGGAACCTGACTGTGCTGGCACCATGATCTTGGAATTCCAGCCTCCAGAACTGGAAGAAACAAATGTTTATTGTTTATGCCACCCAGTCTGTGGTATTGTGTTATATCAGCCCTAAGTCAGCATCTTCTGGACCTTACAAGTGGGAGATGCCTGTCAAATGTCTATTAAACCAAATAAGACTTAATTGCTTTAATATCAGTAAGTAGTTTGCATGGACAGGGAAAAGGGATGTTTGTACAAGGACAACTTTACTGTCATAGTTATTCATGGAGCACCAGCCCATGCTAGAAACCCACTAGCAAGTTGAAATGCAGCAGAGCAGAGTCCTCTATCTCCAGAATTAAAAATGTCTTCTGCCACCCCTGCCTTACATGCATGCGTGTGCACATGCACACACACACACACACACAACTCTTCTGCTCACAGAGGTCTGTCCAGTGAATCTAATTAGCAAATCTTAGGGCTTCTCCTCTATATCTAGGGCACAAATGGTTTCGTCAATACTCTTTTGAACCTCTTCTCACCACAGGAGATTGCACAGTGTTGGTCTGTGGAGATACAACTGAATCACTCTTACTATGACTTTAAGATATAAAGGTGATTTTAAGGTGAAGGTGAGATGATGTCTGTGTCTCAAATTAGTGGTCTCTGCTGCCCAAAGAGAATGTGTTCATGTTCCCGTTCTCATCCTAATGGTTCATTTCTGTGTTTTCATTGGGGACTTTTGGCCCTACACCTGGAGTGAGAAGACCTAGTTTTCAGCTCTGGCTCTGCCTTCCCTAGCTAAATGACTTGAGCAAATTGCCTATCTAAACCTCATCTTCCCCATCTATAAACCCAAACAAGTTGTTAAAAAGTTCAAGTAACATCATGTTTGTGAAAACCTTAGTAAATTACTAAGTTATATACATATGCTGGAGTTTATTCATTTTAGTCTCAGCAACAAAAGAAAAATCTGAGAATAAATGCCACACAGTATCTCAAAATTTGATCCAGCAATTATACTTCTAGGAATTGTCCCACAAAAATGCTCTGATCTGCAAAAGGATGTTTGTGTGAGGAATTTCACTGCAGCTTTTTCAAAAATTGGAGATAACCTAAATGTTGTCAATAGAGAATTGGGTAAATAGTGATGCTTATATACTATGTAATACTGTGCAATAGTAAACATAATGAGATAAAGTAAATAAAAAATTATTATGGTTGTAATATTCATGCATCAATGCCAATGTATATAAATTAACAGATGTGGTTATCACATCATTATATACTTGAGTCATGTATGATAGAAAAATATCTTCAGCTAAGTCTCAGAGGAATAACCTAAGCTTTAAACAAAACCAGATCATCCCACATATAATACATGGATTTCCATTTGCTATATCCTGGACATTTCCTTATGTCAGTCCACTTTTACTTTTATAATTTTTTAAAATTTGCATAATAAAACATTGGCCATCAATTATTAAAATAGTTCTCTGGGTTAACTACTGAAGAAAGAAAGGAGATTTGTAGGTAGCTTATATGTGTATTCAGGAATACAAATCTATAATTTTCTAATAGCATCAGCTGAGTGCTGAAGATCACTGCAGACAGTGACTGCAGCCATGAAATTAAAAGATGCTTGCTCCTTAGGAGAAAAACTATGACAAACCTAGACAGCATATTAAAAAGCAGAGACATTACTCTGCCAACAAAGGTCCGTATAGTCAAAGCTGTGGTTTTTCCAGTAGTCATGTATGGATGTGAGAGTTGGACCACAAAGAAAGCTGAGCATCAAAGAATTTATGCTTTTGAACTGTGAACTGTTGGAGAAGACTCTTGAGAGTCCCTTGGACTCCAAGGAGATCAAACCAGTCCATCCTAAAAGAAATCAGTCCTGAATATTCATTGGAAGGACTGATGCTGAAGCTGAAGCGCTAATACTTTGGCCACCTGATGCAAAGAGCCAGGGTCTGATTGGAAAAGACCCTGATACTGGGAAAGATTGAGGGCAGGAGAAGGGGATGACAAAGGGTAAGATGATTGGATGGCATCTCCGACCCAATGAACATGAGCAAACTCTGGGAGATGGTGAAAGACAGGGAAGCCTGATGTGCTGCAATCCATGGGGTCACAAAGAGTTGGACACTACTGAGCGACTGAACAATAGTGTAAGAGCAGCCTCTTGTTATAAGTTGAAACAGCCCTAACCCAAGAATCAGGTGTCCAGCACTCTTGTCCCAGCTCTGCTATTAACTTACAACATGATATCAACTGAATCACTTATCTGGGCCAAAGTTTCCACATCCAGAAAATGAGAGTGTTAAAGCACGCATTCTCTAAGGTCCCTTCAAGCTGAAAATTCAGTGGTTCTATGAAATCACTTTTCAAAGACTTAATAAATGGTGTTTATATATAATAATAGTTTCTGGTCATTTCTGGAACTAACAGGAAGACTTTGGTAAGACTTAAATACTCCACTTACATGCAGGGCAATACACTAAGAGTTTTTTAAAATCTAAACAAAACGGTTCTTGTCCTCAAGAAACCTATAATTTAAAAAAGAAAATGACAGTTGAATTAATAGAAATATAGGAGTATCAGGTTTTACAAAAGGAATGTACACAGCAAGATGGCTGTGTTAAATCAGTGGAACTTAAATTTATGGTCCTAGAAGCCCTAGGGTTTTTCAGAAGGATTCTGAAGCTGCTTTCAGGATAGGGCAAGAGGGTAAGGAAGTGAATAGTGCCTCCTCCCCGTACCTGGTTTAACCAAACTAGGTCTGCCTTCCTCTGCATCATGCATCTAGGAAATCTTGGAAAGATTTCTAAAGAAATAGGGCTGCTACAATAAAGTTGTGAAATCCACTGGCCTAAATGATTTCTAAAGGCCAGTTCTGTCTTTAAGTTTTCACAATTTTATGATTCTAAGATGTGTATAAATTAAGTTTTTATATTCTGCATTCAATTTTGCATGTAACAGGAAATTAACTTTGTAAAGGTTAATTCTCTTGGAAAACAAATAATTATTTTGTAATATGAATAATGAACCATAGGTATATCTGTTAAACACACTCAGATTTACCTGTCCTGAATTTTCTGAACATGAGGCATGTTTGTAATTACGAAAGAATAGATCAGAAAAGAATTGGATGAGGCAGGCAGAAGAGTTATAAAAAAGATCCACAAAATCCCTGGGGCACCATGAAGAAGCTGTTAGCTTCAGCATAAGACCAAAGATACTGACCTGGAGCTAGAACTCCTGAGCTCTGCCAATGAATTGGGTCATTTCTGTCTCACAGAACTCACCTCAGAATTGACACAATTGGTAATTGACACAATTACTTGAGTGCTTTCTATGTATTATTTCATTTAATCCTCCCAACTCCATGAGATGGGTATGATTTTTCTCTCCATTTCCCAGAAAACTGGAACCAGAGGTGGTTAAATACCTTGTTCAAGGTCACAGAGCCAGGATTCAAACCCAGGGACTGTGACCGCAAAGCCCACACTCTCAGCCACCACAAACTCTTCTCCAAGTTCGGGTCACCTGTATGGTAGACTCTTCCAGGAGGAAGGAGCCAGCCCTGTGTTTGATTGGCGTGAGGCTAGCTGTCAAGGGGGCAGGAGTCACCTAGTAAATCCCCTTTGCTGTATAGAGGAAGAGCTGAGACCACCAGAGAGACAGGTGAGCTGTTCAAGGCCTTGAAGCCAGATTTGGAACTAAATATTTTCTTGAGTTTACATATGAGAAACTTGCTTTTTAACTTATTTAAAGCACCATGCTCGTGTTCATGCTCATTCGCTCAGTCGTGTCTGACTCTTTGTGACCCAATGGACTGTAGCCTGCCAGGCTCCTCTGTCTATGAAACTGTCCAGGCAAGAGTACTGGAGTGGGTAGCCATTTCCTCCTCTAGGGAATCTTCCCAACCCAGAAATCAGACCCTTCTCCTGCATTATCATTGAGTCACCTAGGAAGCCCTAAAGCACCCCTACACATTAATTATTGTTAAGCCTATTATTTGCTACAATGTTTAGTAGTCTAAAGGCTCTAACCCAAAGCTTAAAGTTATGG